CTCCATCTTTAGGTACAACCAGACATCCATGACCGTATTTCATGCCGCCCCGGAGACGGCTGTGCACATTTCCCACATTCCAGTCTTTAATCGCTGTAAGGAAATTTTTAAGTTGACTATTAGTAAAACTGAGAAAGCCCAACGAGAAAAAATTGAAACAATCTTGCCCAACGCCATAGGGAATTCCTTTTTTCTCGTTGGCCTCGATGTGAGCCAGAGGCTGACAATGGAACGACAATAAGATAAAAAAAGGCGAGTATCAGTTTTATACAGTAGAATATGAAACTTTCTAACCCAAATTTTCGGGTACTTCACTACATCTCAATTTTCTAAAGACTAGAGTTTAACATTTTATAGGATGTCTACGACTCATGGCTCCAATTTTCAATTTCTCTTGTGAAAAAGATTTTGACTAGTCATTTATTTTTGAAACAAGTGCAAAAATGTAGAACCTGATTATGACAGATGGCAAAAATCGTCTGTGATAGAATGGTCGAAACAGATAGCAATCGGCCTGAAATCAAGAGTGCACGTCCTATTACTGAGGGGAATGAAGGACATAAATTTTTAAAGAAAGGTGATGAAATGAAAGCTGGTGATCGTCAATAAAAAAAATATATCAGTATTTAATTCTCACGAGTGAGGGACAAAAAAATATCTAACCTCCAAAGAGGTTAGACCTCCAAAGAGGTTAAGAGGTTAGACCTCCAAAGAGGTTCTGTTTTCGCAATCTGACGCTTCACCATTGAGCTTCAGAAAATTATGAAAGCTTTTGCACTTGTTTTACCTGTGGCGATGGGGCCGCTTCCACGTTGACGTATATCAGAAAAACACAGGACAAAAAGATTTTCATTCCAAGAAAAGCCATGATGTTGGGAACATCTGAGAGATACTGTGGAAGGAATTGTGATTGTTCAGAAGGATTTTCGCACTAAATCAAAATGGCTTTCTACACGAAACACTACACCAGAAACTGAGCTTACCGTAACTAGTTGTCTCTTGTAAATGTAAGACCCGAACTGGGAAAGCAAGCAATGTGTCTGCTGTTATAAGATCCTATCAAAGACAAATTTGGATGAATTGAAAATCACTTAGGATATTAAACAAACAAGTACTTTTGACAATTACTTTAAACGACACAAAAATAAATAAAAATGATTGAATGGCTTAAAAATTTATTTAGGTAAACAGGAAAAAGAAAATATTTCTTTTGTCGTTGCAAATATTGAAATCGATACATAATATCTACAAAAGTTTTAATGTTTGAACTCGAATGGTGGTTTCGGGTAAAAGAACAGTCTATGATGGCTGGTTTTGTTTTGAACATTCTAACATAGCAGATGAAATAATGGCCGTCATTACGATGGACATGGAAGTCAATTTAATACGTAAATTAATGTTGTGTCGCTGAACTTTTCTGTCTTTTCAGAGATGAGATGTGGAATTTATTTTGTTATTTCTCTGCAACTGATACGTTTTTACAAATACGAAGATTATTCAAGTTACAGACCACACTTTCTATCGGTTTACTGGCGTAATAACCCCCACGGGATGTTGGAATAACACGAAAGTAGTGTGTGAATCACGAGCCGAAGGCGATTGCACGATTTACAAACTTTTCGAGTATTCTCTCAACATCCAAAGTAGGTTATTACGCTGGTTAACTGATAGAAAGTGCGGTCTATTGCTTTTACAAAAAAAAAAACCTTTTAATTTCTTGGTATATATCATTCCATTAAACGATAGGTGTTTGACAAAGTAGCACGCTCACAGTATTTCTGTTATTTTATAACTGAAGACTGTTACACAATGGCTGCTATGGCAGTGGACCGGTGAGTATAATCTTAAATGAGTGTCATGTTATTGGAGTTTTTGTCATTTTTATTTTAAAGAAAACTTTTCATTGCAGGTCGGAATGATATATGGAATTTATTTTGTCATTTTCTTTGGCACTTATAATTATAAGTTTCTACAAAAGAGAAGATTAATTTATACCTATCCAATAGATATTAAGTAATTAGTAAGACAAGAGCTCTGCAAGCGATAATTTTGAAAATTGAATAACAATCTTTAAAAATCGATATCGAATAACAGTACATTCACTGCTTGGTCTTATATACGTGTCCCCATTTCAATTTGGGCCGCACATTCAAGAGACAAACAGGTAAGAACCATTTGAGATAAATTGTTCGTGCTTTATCTGTGGAACGCCCGTAAAGTCCTTTTACCAGTAACAGTTGATAGCCGGGGCATTAGATACGTAGAGTTAATAACGTGAAAAATCTTCTTTACGATCACAGTTTCTCTTTCAGTACCCCTCAGATATTTCCAAGATCATGGCTTCATCTGAGATGAAAATATTTTTTTCCTGTATTATTCTGATATGCGCCAACGTAATATCGGCTCAATCTCCACAGGTAAGACAAGTGGAAAAACTATTCATAATATTGTGTAACTCCAGACCACAAGCGCGAAGTGAAGGGTTGCGAAAACAGAGGGCCTGGGGTTCGGCTCCTTATTGGAAGCTTAAGATTTTTGAGAAATAAATACGGATATCCTTTTATATTTGTCGACACAGCTTGAATTTATACCCTTCTTCCTTACTGTTTTATGTCGTTTAATTCCCTTCAGTAAGAGAAGGTTAACTGTTGACTTTTGGCATAACATGTACTATCTGTTTCAACCATTGTATCACACACGGCTTTTGCTATCTGGAATTCAGAATCAAGATTATTGTTTTATAGGTTTGAAAAATTAAATAATTAGTCTAGATCTTTTCCGACACAGAATGTCAAATGTGGATTCTTAACTCGTTGACATTCTAAGAAAATCGTCATCGAAAAAAAGACTCAAGAAAAGAGAAAAATTAAGATTTAGTCATGTTCCCTCGAAAGCAGGTGAGAAAATTTCATAATTCACAGTATAAAACGGATGCTCACCAATTCTACTTTATTCTATCTACAGGTGAGGCCAGCAATAAAAGAGAAGTTTCCTATCAGGCTAGACAAGGTTGTTCTGTTCTTTTCTTATTGCTGGAACGACTTTCTCAGTTTTACTAATTTTTGCTTCGAAAATTGCCTTACAGTGACAACAGACTGGGATGCTGGAAATGTGCACAGCCGTCTCGCGGGTAGCATGACATACAAGCAAGGACAACTGACTATGCCTACCGCTGGACCGTACTATATCTACGCACAACTATACTTTCACACCAAGGGGATGGTGGAAATTCGTAAGAATAACAAAAAGGTCACTATGCTTCAACCAGCTGAAGGCACAGATCACTTACCCTTTTATACAGGGGAGTGTTTCTCCTAAGAGATTGTGACGTCATATCGCTAAATTCGAAAGACAACGTCATGATTTACATGTCTTCTGCTCACACTTGTTTTGGGGCGTTTTTGATTTGACCTTCACACTAACGTGTAAAAGTCTAGAGAGAAATTGCACCACGATTTCAATAAAGGACACAATCATATTAAAAGGGGTCTAATTGTTTTTAGTTACGATATTTTGTAATCCTTACATAACACCTGTTCTTTCAAATCTCCTAAAAATTACCTTATTAAATTTAAATTAAACCCAGTTAGAGGGTTTATGGGACAAATCGTCTTTGAAGGTCATTGAAAAAATCTAAGCATCGACAAGTTGATAAGCTCAGTAAAATCCTAGACAAAATTTGCGTTTTGTCTTTCACTTGAAATTTAGAAAATGACTTAACACTCGTACTTTTTGATTCGCTCTGGCGCTGTGGGCTATCTGTCATTTTTACCGTCTGTCACAAATTGTAACCCTACACTTTTACTCTGAAAGAGTAAGATGTACTAGTCACTTGGGTTCCCCTTCTAATATGTCAGCTGAGTTCGTAGTCGACAAGTTTGGTATTTCTCATTCTTATGAAAGTGTTGTTTTTATTCTTATTCAAAGCAGTTGATCGCAATCACATAGCTCAGTGTTTTTGAGTTTTTTTTTTATTAAAAAATTTATTAAAAAAAAATAACTCTGTGTTAGCGTGTAGAGTGGTATGTTACTCGCACCTATCAGATCGCTGCATTAGGGTGTGTATCTCACATCAATCATATCATAACATTCGGGTATCTTGCACTAATCGCAGCGTTTGGGTAATGTGGGAGTAGATGGCTGAGTTTGTGGCTACCATGCGCAATTTTATTGAATAGATCTTTACATAATGTGCACCTCCTATCGTACAAGGCTGGTAGGCCAGCTTTCGCTAGACCTTCATTATAATCACAACCTGGAAAGATTATGCGTAACGCACGACGCTGAATGCATTCAATTTCACCCGAGAGGTACAATGGTAGATTGCAATGAAAGACCTGACATGCATATTCTAGGACTGATCTAATAGCGCTACAGTGAAATCTAACAAGATCATTGTGAGCAATACCCGCGCGCTTAAGTTGTCTTAAGAGATAAAGTCTCTTGGCAGCCTTAGTCGTGATTGAGTTGATATATGCGGACCATTTAAGGTCACTGCTTATGATAACGCCAAGAACTTTAGCCAAAGATATCATTTCGAACTCGATCCCTTCTATTGACACCTGAGAGAGGCAAGGGGGAGTGCGCTTGAAGCATGTGCGGATCTTCTTGCACTCGGTTGAATTTAGCTGTAGATGATTTTCCTGAGACCAACTCGTGGATGTAGTCAGCCACTTCCTGTAGTAAGCTGTGCTTGGAGGCGGGAACAACTTCAGAGACCGTTGGGTCATTTGCGAATTTCCACATGTGGAACCCTTCTGGGAGACGGAGATCGTTAATCATCGCCAGGAATAGCCATAGACCCAAATGGGTCCCCTGGGGCACTCCAGCAGGAACATCCAACCAATCAGATAACACTCCATTTAGTTTCACTCTCTGCTGTCTGCTCCTTAGAAAATCGATCACCCAGTTAAGAACTGTAGGTTTCATGCCAAGACTTAGAAGCTTAGCGACCAATATATGGTGGTCAACGAGGTCGAAAGCTTTTCTAAAGTCTAATCGGGAAGTCCTTACAGTTGAGCCAGTGCCGTCCGTAGCGTGTAGCCAATGATGGAACATGGAGATTAGAGCGAACGTGGTGCATGAGCCTGGAATAAATCCAAATGTGCGGGATCGATGGCCGATCACAGTACTGGCTTAAAAAAGTGTCCTATCTCGACCTACCCAGTTAAAAAAAAAATCACTATTGCAAGCTACGCATGCTTATGTTTTAGTTCCATTCTCAGGTTCAGAGATGGAAAAATGTTTCGAATAGAATTAAGAGACAAAATCACTCAAAAGAAAAACAAACCGGTACAGAATCCAGGAAGACAAGAGATTTTCTACAAAGGGAAGCTCTTTACCGGTGACTAGGATTTTACCACGAAATAATGACACTGTTCTGAAGGAAAAAACCTGAACAGGTTACGCGATCAAAAAGCTGTGTTACATCATGAAAGTAACTCGTGCTTTCTTATGTGTAGGATAAGCAATAGTGTTGGATGTTGTTGATACATCGTGATCTTAAAGGCCATATTTAGTCAGGGCTTCGGTCTGAAATTCAGTGGTTCGCGTTTATACTGTGACCGCTGTTTCTTTGAGGGTTGGTTATTTTGTTAAAGATTACAATACAGTATAGCCTTTTTGATATCATTCTATTCTTTATTGATATCGTGGTACAATTTCTTTCAAGGCTTTTACTCGATTGTGTGAAGCTCACTGAAGCAGGAACGCTCCAAAGTAACTATGATAAGGAGCCATGTAAAGTTTGACACTGGTCGCAGCTTCTAACGATATGGTGTCACCAGCCTCTAGACGAAACGCTCCCCCTGCATATTTGGATCCTTCCGATACGTCAGGATAGTTAGCCATGGTGAGAGGTTCCTCGTAATTCTTGAAAACCCGCACTCTCCCGGTGCTGTGAAAGTACAGTTGTGCGTAAACATAGTACACCCCATCTTCAGGCACCTTCAGATGTCCATCAGCGTATATCATGCCGCCCTCGAGAAGGCTGTACCCATTTTCCATATCCCAGTCTGTAATCTCTGTAAGGAAATTTTCGAGTTGACCATTAGTAAAAGTGAGAAAGTCGTTGAAGCAACAAGAAAAGATCAGAACAACCTTGCCCTTTTTCATAGGAAACTTCACGCAACGAGCTGGCTTCGATGTGACCCAGAGGCCGATACGGGTTCTATAATAAGATAAAAAAATACGAGTATCAGTTTAATACCGAAGAATATGAAACTTTCTAACCCACGTTTACGGGGCCTTGACTATATCTTAATTTTCTAAAGACTAGAGTCGAACATTTTTATAGGATGTCTACGACTAATGACTCTAGTTTTCAAATTCTCACTTGAAAAAGATTTCGACTTGTCATTTAATTTTTTAAACGAATGCAAAACTGTAGAACTTGATTATGACAGATAGCATAAACCCTCTGATAGAATGGTTGAAATAGATAAAAAAGCCTGAAATCAAGAGTTAATGTTCCCTTACGGAAGGGAGTGAAGGCATTAGTTTTTAAAGAAAGGTAACGACATGAAAGCTGGATCGTCAATAAAAGATATATGAGTATATAACTCTCTCGAGTGAGGTACAAAGAAAAAAACTAACCTCCAACGAGAAATCGAACCCGAAATGTTCTGTTTTCGCAGTCTGACGTCCTACCATCGAGCTACAGAAAATTATGAACAGTTTGTGCACTTGTCTTACCTTTGGTGATGGAGCCGCTTCCACGTTAGTGTATATCAGAAAAACACAAGACAAAAGGATCTTCACTTCAAGGAAAGCCATGATGTTGAATATATCTGAGAGACACTGTGGGAGGAATTGTGATTGTTCAGAAGAATTTTTTCACGAAATCAAAATGGCTTTCAAGACGAAACACCACTTAAACCATGAACAAATTGGAATTTTTAGACTGAACTCACCTTCGGAAAGGCTTAGACACAAACTGTATGAACTTGGCCAAGTAATGATTGTATTTGTTCGATAACCTCCCGGTTAAATAAAATACCCTTGCCCAATATTTTTTTAATGATTGTTTTAAACAATTTTTAAATTAATTTTATTAAAAAAATAAAAAATCAATTTTTTAATCAATTTTTAAAATCAATTTTTTAATTTTTTAAAATCAGTATTAGTTTTTCAATCTTTTTAGTTACTTTTTTTAAAATAATTTAAAAAAATAATTTTTTGAAATTTTGAAATAATTTTTTAAAATTTTTTGATTTTTTTAAAATTCTTATTTGATTTTTTATCAATTTTAAGTTATTTTTTAATTAATTTTTGATAATTTTCTCAGTTTTTTAAATTTTTAAATTATTTTTTTATATTTTTTAATTACTTTATTTTTTAATTTTCTTGAGCGATTTTTATTTTATTTTACATTTTTTTATTAATTTTTTAAAATTAATTTTTCTTTTCAATTGCATGGGCCGCAAAGCCGCTAACAGGAAAACTGTCATAATAACAAATCTATATAAGTATTTATAATTAGGCTTTTTATCTTTCTCTTAAAGTGAAATAATGCGATATTTTCGTTCTTTTGAAAGTTATGAAAACATTAGGAACACAAATAAATAACTACCGTTTATTCTTTAAAAACACTTTGCAGTCAAGCGACTGAATTACGTGAATATGTACAATACAATAAGACGAATGTTAAAAATATATATATATATCATATACAGTGGATAAAAATATGTACAATACAGGACGAAAGACGAATGCGGAAAAAAAACCCATATATATATATATATATATCACGCAGCAACGGAAACGCGAGAAAACGTCACGAAACCGGTTAAAAACAAAACTGTCTCTAAATTTGTTAGTCTTACACACCTGTGGCGGTAGAGGTGCGACCAGATCTAACGTTGTAAATCTGCTGGGAACGTGTTGGGAGCAGATGGCTGAGTTTGTGGCTACCATGCGCAATTTTATTGAATAGATCTTTACATAATGTGCGCCTCCTGTCGTATAAGGCTAGTAGGCCAGCTTTCGCTAGACCTTCATTATAATTTCAACCTGGAAAGCTTGTGCGTAACGCACGACGCTGAATGCGTTTAATTTCATCCGAGAGGTACAATGGTAGATTGCAATGAAAGACCTGACATGCATATTCTAGGACTGATCTAATAGCGCTACAGTGAAATCTAACAAGATCATTGTGAGCAATACCCGCGCGCTTAAGTTGTCTTAAGAGATAAAGTCTCTTGGCAGCCTTAGTCGTGATTGAGTTAATATGTGCGGACCATTTAAGGTCACTGCTTATGATAACGCCAAGAACTTTAGCCGAAGATATCATTTCGAACTCGATCCCTTCTATTGACACCTGAGAGAGGCAAGGGGGAGTGCGCTTGAAGCATGTGGGGATCTCCTTGCACCTGGTTGAATTTAGCTGTAGATGATTTTCCTGAGACCAATCGTGGATGTAGTCAGCCACTTGCTGTAGTGAGCTGTGCTTGGAGGCGGGAACGACTTCAGAGGCCGTTGGGTCATTAGCGAATTTCCACATGTGGAACCCTTCTGGGAGACGGAGATCGTTAATCGTCGCCAGGAATAGCCATAGACCCAAACGGGTCCCCTGGGGCACTGCAGCAGGAACATCCAACCAATCAGGTAGCACTCCATTTAGTTTCACTCTCTGTTGTCTGCTCCTTAGAAAATCGATCACCCAGTTAAGAACTGTAGGTTTCACGCCAAGACTTAGAAGCTTAGCCACCAATATATGGTGGTCAACGAGGTCGAAAGCTTTTCTAAAGTCTAATCGGGCAGTCCTTACAGTTGAGCCAGTGCCGTCCGCAGCGTGTAGCCAATGATGGAACATGGAGATTAGAGCGAACGTGGTGCATGAGCCTGGAATAAATCCAAATGTGCGGGATCGATGGCCGATAACAGTACTGGCTTAAAAAAGTGTCCTATCTCGACCTACCCAGTTCAAAAAAAAAATCACTATTGCACGCTACGCATGCTTATGTTTTAGTTCCATTCTCAGGTTCAGAGATGGAAAAATGTTTTAAATAGAATTAAGAGACAAAATCACTCAAAAGAAAAACAAACCGGTACAGAATCCAGGAAGACAAGAGATTTTCTAGAAAGAGAAGCTCTTTAACGGTGATTAGGATTTTACCACGAAATAATGACACTGTTCTGAAGGAAAAAGCTGAACAGGTTACGCGATCAAAAAGCTGTGTTACTTCATGAAAGTAACTCGTGCTTTCTTATGTGTAGGATAAGCAATAGTGTTGGATGTTGTTGATACATCGTGATCTTAAAGGCTATATTTAGTCAGGGCTTCGGCCTGAAATTCAGTGGTTCTCGTTTATACTGTGACCGCTGTTTCTTTGAGGGTTGGTTATTTTGTTAAAGATTACAATACAGTATAGCCTTTTTGATATCATTCTATTCTTTATTGATATCGTGGTACAATTTCTTTCAAGGCTTTTACTCGATTGTGTGAAGCTCACTGAAGCAGGAACGCTCCAAAGTAACTATGATAAGGAGCCATGTAAAGTTTGACACTGGTCGCGGCTACTAACGATATGGTGTCACCAGCCTCTAGACGAAACGCTCCCCCTGCATATTTGGATCCTTCCGATACGTCAGGATAGTTAGCCATGGTGAGAGGTTCCTCGTAATTCTTGAAAACCCGCACTCTCCCGGTGCTGTGAAAGTACAGTTGTGCGTAAATATAGTACACCCCATCTTCAGGCACCTTCAGATGTCCATCAGTGTATATCATGCCGCCCTCGAGAAGGCTGTACCCATTTTCCATATCCCAGTCTGTAATCTCTGTAAGGAAATTTTCGAGTTGACCATTAGTAAAAGTGAGAAAGTCGTTGAAGCAACAAGAAAAGATCAGAACAACCTTGCCCTTTTTCATAGGAAACTTCACGCAACGAGCTGGCTTCGATGTGACCCAGAGGCCGATACGGGTCCTATAATAAGATAAAAAAATACGAGTATCAGTTTAATACCGAAGAATATGAAACTTTCTAACCCACGTTTACGGGGACTTGACTATATCTTAATTTTCTAAAGACTAGAGTCGAACATTTTTATAGGATGTCTACGACTAATGACTCTAGTTTTCAAATTCTCACTTGAAAAAGATTTAGACTTGTTATTTAATTTTTTAAACGAATGCAAAACTGTAGAACTTGATTATGACAGATAGCATAAACCCTCTCTGATAGACTGGTTGAAATAGATAACAAAGCCTGAAATCAAGAGTTAATGTTCCCTTACGGAAGGGAGTGAAGGCATTAGTTTTTAAAGAAAGGTGACGAAATGAAAGCTGGATCGTCGATAAAAGATATATGAGTATATAACTCTCTCGAGTGAGGTACAAAGAAAAAAACTAACCTCCAACGAGAAATCGAACCCGAAATGTTCTGTATTCGCAGTCTGACGCCCTACCATCGAGCTACAGAAAATTATGAACAGTTTGTGCACTTGTCTTACCTTTGGTGATGGAGCCGCTTCCACGTTAGTGTATATCAGAAAAACACAAGACAAAAGGATCTTCACTTCAAGGAAAGCCATGATGTTGAATATATCTGAGAGACACTGTGGGAGGAATTGTGATTGTTCAGAAGAATTTTTTCACGAAATCAAAATGGCTTTCAAGACGAAACACCACTTAAACCATGAACAAATTGGAATTTTTAGACTGAACTCACCTTCGGAAAGGCTTAGACACAAACTGTATGTACTCGGCCAAGTAATGATTGTATTTGTTCGATAACCTCCCGGTTAAATAAAATACCCTTGCCCAATATTTTTTTAATGATTGTTTTAAACAATTTTTTAATTAATTTTATTAAAAAATTAAAAAATCAATTTTTTAATCAATTTTTAAAATCAATTTTTTAATCAATTTTTAAAATCAATTTTTTAATCAATTTTTAAAATCAATTTTTTAATTTTTTTAAAATCATTTTTATTTTTTCAATCTTTTTAGTTACTTTTTTTAAAATAATTTTAAAAAATAATTTTTTGAAATTTTTGAAATAATTTTTTAAATTTTTTTGATTTTTTTAAAATTCTTATTTGATTTTTTATCAATTTTAAGTTATTTTTTAAATAAATTTTGATAATTTCCTCAGTTTTTTAAATTTTTAAATTATTTTTTTATATTTTTTAATTACTTTATTTTTTAATTTTCTTGAGCAATTTTTATTTTATTTTACATTTTTTTATTAATTTTTTAAAATTAATTTTTCTTTTCAATTGCATGGGCCGGAAAGCCGCTAACAGGAAAACAGTCATAATAGCTAATCTATATAATTATTTATAATTTAGGCTTTTTCTCTTTCTCTTAAAGTGAAATAATGCGATATTTTCGTTCTTTGGAAAGTTATGAAAACATTAGGAACACAAATAAAGAACTACCGTTTATTCTTTAAAAACACTTTGCAGTCAAACGACTGAATTACGTGAATATGTACAATACAATAAGACTAATATTAAAAATATATATATATATCATATACAGTGGATAAAAACAAAACTGTCTCTAAATTTGTTAGTCTTGCACATGGGTGCGCACAGGACGAAATCACAAGTTTCCGTATTTCTGAAACGTGGCGGAAACATGCAACTCCATGTTTCCGTTATGTTTAACATGCACAAAAAGTGGTCCGGTTCCGTTGTATACGCAGCAACGGAAACGCGAGAAAACGTCACGAAACCGGTTACGGAAACACAGGTTATCCGTCGTGTTTCCAGAACGGTTTAACATGTTTCTGCCACGTATCCGTTTACGGATTCTTACAATTTCGTCCTGTGGCGGTAGAGGTGCGACCAGATCTAACGTTGTAAATCTGCTGGGAACGTGTTGGGAGCAGATGGCTGAGTTTGTGGCTACCATGCGCAATTTTATTGAATAGATCTTTACATAATGTGCGCCTCCTGTCGTATAAGGCTGGTAGGCCAGCTTTCGCTAGACCTTCATTATAATTTCAACCTGGAAAGCTTGTGCGTAACGCACGACGCTGAATGCGTTTAATTTCATCCGAGAGGTACAATGGTAGATTGCAATGAAAGACCTGACATGCATATTCTAGGACTGATCTAATAGCGCTACAGTGAAATCTAACAAGATCATTGTGAGCAATACCCGCGCGCTTAAGTTGTCTTAAGAGATAAAGTCTCTTGGCAGCCTTAGTCGTGATTGAGTTAATATGTGCGGACCATTTAAGGTCACTGCTTATGATAACGCCAAGAACTTTAGCCGAAGATATCATTTCGAACTCGATCCCTTCTATTGACACCTGAGAGAGGCAAGGGGGAGTGCGCTTGAAGCATGTGGGGATCTCCTTGCACCTGGTTGAATTTAGCTGTAGATGATTTTCCTGAGACCAATCGTGGATGTAGTCAGCCACTTGCTGTAGTGAGCTGTGCTTGGAGGCGGGAACGACTTCAGAGGCCGTTGGGTCATTAGCGAATTTCCACATGTGGAACCCTTCTGGGAGACGGAGATCGTTAATCGTCGCCAGGAATAGCCATAGACCCAAACGGGTCCCCTGGGGCACTCCAACAGGAACATCCAACCAATCAGATAGCACTCCATTTAGTTTCACTCTCTGCTGTCTGCTCCTTAGAAAATCGATCACCCAGTTAAGAACTGTAGGTTTCACGCCAAGACTTAGAAGCTTAGCCACCAATATATGGTGGTCAACGAGGTCGAAAGCTTTTCTAAAGTCTAATTGGGCAGTCCTTACAGTTGAGCCAGTGCCGTCCGCAGCGTATAGCCAATGATGGAACATGGAGATTAGAGCGAACGTGGTGCATGAGCCTGGAATAAATCCAAATGTGCGGGATCGATGGCCGATAACAGTACTGGCCTAACCCAGTTAAAAAAAAATCACTATTGCACGCTACGCATGCTTATGTTTTAGTTCCATTCTCAGGTTCAGGGATGGAAAATGTTTTAAATAGAATTAAGACACAAAATCACTCAAAAGAAAAACAAACCGGTACAGAATCCAGGAAGACAAGAGATTTTCTACAAAGGGAAGCTCTTTACCGGTGACTAGGATTTTACCACGAAATAATGACACTGTTCTGAAGGAAAAAACCTGAACAGGTTACGCGATCAAAAAGCTGTGTTACATCATGGAAGTAACTCGTGCTTTCTTATGTGTAGGATAAGCAATAGTGCTGGTTGTTGTTGATACATCGTGATCTTAAAGGCCATATTTAGTCAGGGCTTCGGCCTGAAATTCAGTGGTTCTCGTTTATACTGTGACTGCTGTTTCTTTTAGGGTTGGTTGTTTTGATAAAGATTACAATACAGTATAGCCTTTTTGATATCATTCTATTCTTTATTGATATCGTGGTACAATTTCTTTCAAGGCTTTTACTCGATTGTGTGAAGCTCACTAAATCAGGAACGCTCAAAAGTAATCATGAAGAGGACCCATGTAAAGTGTGACATCGATCGCGGCTTCTAACGATATGGTGTCACCAGCCTCTAGACGAAACGCTCCCCCTGCATATTTGGATCCTTCCGATACGTCAGGATAGTTAGCCATGGTGAGAGTTTCCTCGTAATTCTTGATAACCAGCACCCTCCCGCTGTGAAAGTACAGTTGTGCGTAAACATAGTACACTCCATCTTCAGGCACCTTCAGATGTCCATCAGTGTATATCATGCCGCCCTCGAGAAGGCTGTACCCATTTTCCATATCCCAGTCTGTAATCTCTGTAAGGAAATTTTCGAGTTGACCATTAGTAAAAGTGAGAAAGTCGTTGAAGCAACAAGAAAAGATCAGAACAGCCTTGCCCATCTTCATAGGAAACTACGTGCAACGGGCTGGCCTCCATGTGACCCAGAGGCCGATACGGGTTCTATAATAAGATAAAAAAATACGAGTATCAGTTTAATACCGAAGAATATGAAACTTTCTAACCCACGTTTACGGGGACTTGACTATATCTTAATTTTCTAAAGACTAGAGTCGAACATTTTTATAGGATGTCTACGACTAATGACTCTAGTTTTCAAATTCTCACTTGAAAAAGATTTAGACTTGTCATTTAAATTCTTAAACAAATGCAAAACTGTAGAACTTGATTATGACAGATAGCATAAACCGTCTGTGATAGACTGGTTGAAACAGATAACAAAGCCTGAAATCAAGAGTTAATGTCCTCTTACGGAAGGGAGTGAAGGCATTAGTTTTTAAAGAAAGGTGATGAAATGAAAGCTGGATTGTCAATAAAAGATATATGGGTATTTAACTCTCTCGAGTGAGGTACAAAGAAAAAAACTAACCTCCAACGAGAAATCGAACCCGAAATGTTCTGTTTTCGCAGTCTGACGCCCTACCATCGAGCTACAGAAAATTATGAACAGTTTGTGCACTTGTCTTACCTTTGGTGATGGAGCCGCTTCCACGTTAGTGTATATCAGAAAAACACAAGACAAAAGGATCTTCACTTCAAGGAAAGCCATGATGTTGAATATATCTGAGAGTTACTGTGGGAGGAATTGTGATTGTTCAGAAGAATTTTTTCACGAAATCAAAATGGCTTTCAAGACGAAACACCACTTAAACCATGAACAAAATGGAATTTTTAGACTAAACTCATCTTCGGAAAGGCTTAGACACAAACTGTATGAACTCGGCCAAGTAATGATTGTATTTGTTCGATAACCTCCCGGTTAAATAAAATACCCTTGCCCAATATTTTTTTAATGATTGTTTTAAAAATTTTTTAAATCAATTTTATTAAAAAATGTAAAAATAAATTTTTTAATCAATTTTTAAAATTAATTTTTTAATTTTTAAAAATCATTTTTAGGTTTTCAATCTTTTTAGTTAATTTTTTTTAATAATTTAAAAAAATAACTTTTTAAAAATTTTTTGATTTTTTTAAAATTCCAATTTGATTTTTTATCAGTTTTAAGTTATTTTCAAATAATTTTTGATACTTTTCTAAGTTTTTTAAATTTTTTAATTAATTTTTTATATTTTTTAATTACTTTATTTTTTAATTTTCTTGAGCAATTTTTATTTTATTATACTTTTTTAAAAATAATTTTTTTAAATTAATTTTCTTTTCAATTGCATGGGCCGCAAAGCCACTAACAGGAAAACTGTCATAATAGCTACTCTATATAAGTATTTATAATTTAGGCTTCTTCTCTTTCTCTTAAAGTGAAATAATGCGATATTTTCGTTCTTTTGAAAGTTATGAAAACATTAGGAACACAAATAAATAACTATCGTTTATTCTTTAAAAACACTTTGTAGTCAAACGACTGAATTACGTGAATATGTACAATACAATAAGACGAATGTTAAAAAAAAGTATAGATATATATATATATCATATACAGTGGATAAAAACAAAACTGTCTCTTAATCTGTTAGTCTTGCACACGGGTGCGGTAGAGGTGCGACCAGATCTAAGGTTGTACATCTGCTGGGAACGTGTTGGAAGTAGATGGCTGAGTTTGTGGCTACCATGCGCAATTTTATTGAATAGATCTTTACAGAATGTACACCTCCTATCGTATAGGATTGGTAGGCCAG